CTTTATTTGTTAAATAACAATTACTTGTTATTTACAGTCTTACCTGTGAACAAAGAAACGACAATTTATGTTTATTATTAACACTACTTAAAATTTATTTATAAAATTTTTCTATAAACTCTCGTGCATAGGTCCTATTTCCTAATGCCCGTTTTTCTTCAAAATCTTAATGGCTCGACTTGTAAATAACAAAAGTCAATCGAAGGACGGGACGTGAGAAGGGCGGCAAATCTAACTCTCAAGAAAGTATACTTTCTTTACATATAAATGTAGTTTTTCTTTTGTACAAATGAAAGTATTCTCAATATCTTCAAAATCTATTTCACACTGAACATACTTCCTTGATATTGATTTTTTTTTTATCTGGCCAAAGATATTAATAACACTCATATGTTTATTATATTGAGGAATAATTTCCGGTTTCTTAATAGTAATTTCTTTTTAATAAACATATATATTTCTATCTAGTAAACGTATGTTACACTACATCAAATTATTTTATAAAAATAAAGTGTCATTATATATGAAACATATATGAAACCCTATAAACGATAGAATGTTCATTCTTACGATGTATTACAGAGTTTAAGAAATTTGGCCGATTTCCAGTCAAAAGTAAATACTTCTATTCAATAAATAAATTTCAAAGTAATTATATGTGTGTGATTACCTAATACACAAATAAATGTACCATACAAACAATATAGCATATTAAATAGCTCTAATAGTTAAGTATGAATTAATTCGTAGGATCAATAGAAACAAAATATTTGAATGGAAAAATATTAAAAATCTAATGAAACATGTTCCTATATTACTTATATCAGATAATATAGAAGTATTCTTATAATTTCCATAATTCTTAAACTTCTAGATACAATTCTATTTTTATATGATAAATATATGTAAAAGTTTCAGAAAAATATATGTAAAAAAATTCATGTTTAAAAAGATATACTGTATCTTTGGAAAATGTAAGATTGATTTAAAACTTAAAAAATCAGTGGAAATAGTACAATAAATCATATGAAAAATTATGTTAAAATTTTATCATTTTCACACGCTTTTATTATTTATTTTATGAAGATTGCACATGTTTATAAAAATTTATTATATAAGATAAATTACCATTTGAAAAGAAAAATAACATGTTACTAATTCCATAAATATAAAGATTAGACAAAATAATATAAGTGCATACGTTTGCATAAGAGCAATTATGATTAAAAACGAAAACAACTACACGGAGTTAAATAATGTGAGACAGATATTGCATTCATTGTAATATGAAAACATTCTTTTTTCTTTGAATTTGGGTCGATCGTATTAAAAACACTATTATTTCCTCCCTCTCTCTCAAAAAAATTAATTCAAATTTATTGCTGTTCAATATCTTGGACAAGATGACAACATAGGGTATAATTTTGACATACTTCCTTTTTTTTCTTCCTATATTTGTTAGGTTAGAAGCAAACGTTGCTTAGAAGCGTAGATATTTAGAATTACATTTGAAATAAATGTTTTAATATTCGATAATTGCTTTACGAATTGAAATGAAAATGTTTGTGATTCCGGGAAATATAGTATTTTATAAATATAGTCGTTCATTTATTGTTTTAAACAATCAAGATAAATAAAAACGATTAAACGTTATCGATACTATTACGGTATGAATTTAATTATAAAATATATTATAATATTTATGGAGTATATATGTAAATTATATATAATTATTAAGATCTTGTTTTATTAAAAAATTTGAGGAAATCGATTTATTTTGATATTTACTAAATTTGTAATCGACCAGGTGTAATAGATATTATAGGTTTGGCATTATTTTAACAACTTTATTTTTATTATTATTATTTATTTAAGATATGAAATATTATGCCTTACTTTAAAAAAAATTTATGTTAAAATTATGAAATATTTATGTTTTTTGCAATTAGTTTAGTATGCCCATATGTGTACATTAATGCACATATCAATGAGATCTTTTCCTGCCCATAAAAGGAAATTATTTGGTCTTCATGACACCTTTGCTAATTTTGAGGATAAAATAAGATATTTTGTTAAAAGCAACTTTTAGTATCAATTGTTTGTAAAAATGAATTTGTATGACATAAATAATAATCTTATATAATATACTTCTAATTTTCAGTTACATAATTTAACAACCTGTAATGTGGCTAATATTCTCAAAACCTCTTGATCCAAAAGATTTGGATAAGTTGATGACAAAATAGGATGGAGATGTTAGCATTACCAATAATGGAGCTACAATTTTAAAGAAAACGGATATAAACCATGAAGTTTCAAAATTGTCCATTTGTCTCAATCTCTCGGATTGGAGATTATATTAATGGAGTAATTATATTAACTGGTGATTTGTTGAGAACAAGTTGAACAATTATTATATAAAGCAATATATACGATAAGAATAGCGGATGGATTTGAAATGTACGACTGATCATTTTAAAACAATTATGTACAAATTACCAGAAAGCATGAAAAATTTAGAATCGTACATCAAGATTACTATGATGTTACTGCTTTAAGATGTAATTAATCATTTTATAATGACTTCTGTCTTGAAAATTTTTAATATTTAAACAACCATAGTCTAAATAAACTATATCTTAATTTCTAGTATCAATAAGTGCCATAAACAAGCGGCAGAAATTGTAATAAATGTTATATTAACAATTTATGATCATATTACATATGATGTTAATTTTGAATTAATAAGAATATACGAAAGGTTGGTGGAAAATACTGTTTTAGTATGCAGTGTAGTACTTTAGTTATTCACAGATTACAAAGATAATACTTGTGTTGTCTAGATTGCTTTTTTCTAATTAGAGTTAATACCTTGAGCTATTCTCAGGGAAATGGCCTTAGAGAGAATTTAGGAATTTCTGTCTGTCATAGGTAATATATATGTGATCTATAAAATATAAATAATCTATTTATAACTTAATGAGTTAATATTACTTTGATTTTAATAATTTTTTTCAGGGTTTAGGGAACATCATACTAGCAATCTTAATTTGCTCTTTTATACCATCAAAATCGAAGACAAAAAATAAGCTTCATGTCATTTTGGACGAAAATTATAGAATATTAGATATACAAATATGAGATAGAAAAATTTATTGAAATGGTAAAATTGCTCAAGGAAACTGACACGACACTTGGTAGTGGGGATTTGATGGTGAAACAAATCATTTTCTTTTGCAAGATTTATCAGCAGTTAGACAGATTGGTGGTCTAGAAATAGAAGTAAGTTTTCATATAAAGTAGTAACATCTTTTTTGTCTATATGTTTTATTTGCCCAATGATGACAAAATACACTGGAGGAGGTGTAAGAGTTTGGAAAATAGGTCTGGTTTAATTCATGTAATCTTTGTATTGTTTTACCATTTAATATCATATTAATTGGTATTAAAATAAAAAGATTTTTTTGAATTATCTATCTAAAATGCCTGCTTTTGGGATTTCTCTGATGACTATAAGATTATGAGATCTGAGGGCTCTGCCTTATATTTATAATTTAACATAGTGTTGTTAATATGAATTATATATTATACTAAAATATAATTAATTTTTTTTTAAATTGCTGTTGGAATGGGTAGTTATATCGTGTCAAGATTCAAAGAATTAATGCTAGAGAAATTTGGATACGCCGGTATTGTTCAAAAATTATCTTTTGTCACCACAAAAGATTGTTATTAAATAATGTAAGAATTCATGAGACAATAAAATAGTTAGAACTTTTGATAACATTTTTTCCATAATACTTGTGATCTGATTCATGTAAAGAGAATTTCACATATGTTTTTTATGCAGTTTACTGATCACACCCTTCGGAAAAATATGAGTCTAACAAGGTTTAATATATCTTTGCTTTATCGGTGTGTGTTCATATTACAGCATTTAAAATTATATAAAAGAAGATATTAATAACTTAAACATGGTGAGTATGTAAAACTACTTACTTAATTTTCTTTTTTTTTCATTTATTTATATTATTGAAGAAACTGAACGTGCAATTCAGGATGCATTGTGCATTGTACGTAACGTACTTAATACTAAGGATAAAAAGATTTTGTATGATGGTGGTGCAACAGGAATTTCATATACATTGGTATGTGCAGCAGAAGCCAAGATAATCAATACTTCAGAGCAATATACATTCCATGCATTTGTTTAAGCTTTGAAAGCTTTTCAAATTCAAGCTTTCCAATTCAGCATTGGCTGAAAATTCAGGTTTTCCTTTAGTAAATGCTCTTGTTGGGACAAAGGCTCAACAACTAATAGAAAATGATTCTGCTTTAGGAATTGATTGTTCACATCGTGATATTGCAGACATGAAAGTGTACAATGTTATTGAAACATTAACAAGCAAAACTCAAATTTTCTTGGCCATTTAATTACTAAGAGTGATAATGAAAATCGACAACGCATACTTACGTTCATAAAATAATTCTACTGATGCTACCTAAAGTAATAATATTTTTAACTTTTTCAGTATTATTTTATCGGAAATAATATTAATGATAGTTTAAAATTATTATACACTAACAATTGTTTCATTCATTTGTATAATATTGTGTATTCATATTTTATATTTCTTTTGTAACTACGACATAACAAATTTATATGATAATAATATAACAAGATATATAATAAGATACTTAATATAATAAGATCCTTTCTATTTTATAATTTAAAAATCTCTTCTCTATTTTTAACAAAACAGTATCGTTTCAATAGATAAATTGGAGATATGAAATAAGAAAATCAATTTCTGCATTGCATCTACTATGATTATTAATATTATCTATTCTATGAAATTATGTAAACATTTGTAATAAATTTCAAATGTATATTATCTTGTTTAACTGTTTGCGTACTAGAGGGTTTTGACAAAACATGATCGAAAAATGCCAAGGAGTGCGATCGCGCTTCTTCGATTACATATTGAAAAAATTCTTCGATTACATATCGAAAAAAGCTGAAGAGCGCGATAGCGCTTGTTATGTTCAATGTGGTAAATAATGGGACCGCGCTTCTCGTGTTTGTTTCTTTTATAACAAGATTCTTTTTGCAACTGGCAAAAGGATTGGACGTAGTGTTATAAAAGTGCGATCATCATTGCTAATAACCATGTCTTTCTAGAAATTATTAGACGAAATAAAGCAGAAAGTAAGTGTAGTGTTAGCTGAGGTTTATTGAATAACTTTTATAATTAATTTATTTTATCCCTAAGGAGGTATAATGAGCCAAAAAATTAAAATTATAAACGTAAACGAAAATTCAAGTTGTCCGAATGACATCGATGACTCTGATATCATTCCTGTTAGGAAGAGCAAGAAATGTATTTTCAGTAGCTCAGAGAGTGATAGCGATTTTTTGATACATGATGATGATTCATGTGCAGAGGACTTGCTAAGAATAGCCAAAGAAAATACCGACAATTCTGAAGCAGAATGCAATTTTCCTAATGAGTACAAACCGATTAAATACTTTAACCTTTTTTTTTATTTAGAATTATTGTCACTAATGGTTACCGAAACTAATAATTACGCGAAATATTCGAGGCGTTTTCTTGAACCATCAGATTTGTCTATACTACAGAAATGGACACCAGTTACTGAATTGGAGGTGAAAGCATTCATAGCAATGATTCTAGAAATGGGCATTACCTTCATATTGGAGCAAAAATTCACGGCAGATACCATGGTTCAAGAAAATGTTTTCAAGAAATTTTTAAGTATTTTCATTTAGTAGATAGTTCTTTGTGTTTTCCATCTAATCATTCTAATTACGATCCCTGTGTTAAATTTGAACCTCTTGTTAAACACGCTAACAGAGTTTTTAAATTATATTATACACCTCATAAGGAATTATCAATCGACGAATCCTTAGTTGGGACGTTATGTCATTCGAGTATAATTCAATACATGCCAAACAAAAAACATCATCGCTGGGGCATAAAATTTTTGATGCTATGCGATGCAGTTTCGAAATATTGTTTAACCTTTTATTGTTACAAAGGCGCAAAATCAAAAATTAATAGTGACAAAAATACGTTTGGGCTAGGATATAATGTCGTGGTAAATTTATTAAATGAAAGTAATTGTTTAAATAAAGGGTATCACGTCTTTGTTGACAACTTTTTTAATAGTATTGAATTAACTAGATATTTATATTCCAACAATACTTATTTAACCGGAACTATCAAACGAAATAAAAAATGTATTCCCGATCACTTAAAAATAGTTAATGTAAATGAAGCGAAATATTTCAAAAACAATAATGTGCTCCTTTGTGCGTATCGTGAAAAGAAAAGCGTAAAAAATCAATAATATTAATTTCAACTAAATGCGAAAATAAAAATGTGACGGTAACAAAGAAAAGACACAGTAGAGAAAGACATTCAAGAAAACCTGCCATCATTTACTCTTACAATACCTTCATGGGTGGTGTAGATGAATCAGATAAAATGTTATACACATACCTTGATGAACGTAGAACTGTAAAATATTGGAAAAAGGTTGCTTTCAATATCATGAACTGCATGGTTTTGAATGCTTATATTATTTATAAAAAAAAAATGAATAATAGAGCAATGACCCGATTAGATTTCATTTCGCAAATTATTGTTGATATTGGCGTGAATGGATGAAAGAGAGGAGGGCACGAGTTTTTCAACCTGATTTTTTAAACGAAAATAGGCTACGTTTAGTAAAGTTGCTACAATGCAACTTACGAAATTGCATAGTGTGTAGTACTAAAAATAAGAGAAAAAGATCGCATCTGATTTGTGTACAATGTGAAAAGGGAGTTCATCCAATCTGTTATCATAAACATCAATGTTTTACATTCTAAAAGTTACTTTCAATAAAATATTTTTTGTTCTTCAAATTTATCATATTTTTAATTTATAACTTATTTTTTTACGAAATACTATAATATATATATATATATATATATATATATATATATATATTGTACATATATATGCAATACATAAAATAAAAAGTTATGAATGAAAAAAAATATATATATATGTATTTTATTAATTTAGAATAGGTAACAATAAAATACAAATTGGATTACTGATAGCGATGCGACGTGCATGCGTCTAAATGGCTGAGCGCGTTTCGACAAATTTCGGGTGGGCCGTCAGTTGTCTGTTTCGGCCAAATGCCTTGGCTTTTTTCGACACAAAGTTTGAAGAGCGCGAAAGTGTCTCGTGGTACGCGAACGATTAAAATAATACATTTAAATAAGTTAATATAGGTCATTTTTTAAGTTCTATTTGTAAAAAAAATATTGTGATATAATAAGATATATAGTGATCAAGATATATGGTCATATATATAGATAGTGGTCAAGATATATAGTGATATATTGCTTTGGATATAAGAAGCAGACTTGAAATTAAAAATGATATTAGATGAAATATTTAAAATGAGAAGTAAATTTTTATAAATATGTATATTAAACACATATCAAAATGAATATATTTATTAATATATTATATTTAATTGAAATATTTCAACAAATAATTATTTTTCATTGTCCAGTTTATTTATTTATATATATTGTTCATTATTTTTATATCGATTATAAATTACAGGAAATGAGACATATATGTTTAAATATATTTTTTATGTTCCGAATATAGGACTGACATATAAAATATAATTATAATGTCAACACAAACATAAGATATATTATTATTATAAGAGATCGGTTCAAATATTGCACAAAAATATTATTGACACTTTTAATTTATTCTTAAACATTTTTCAATATAGACATTAATGTATATTGTTATGCTCTTTATAGATAAAAGTTTTATAATAAATTTGAGAGACAAGAGGATTTGTATTGTACTACAGATTAAATCTTAGATATCTTTTTTTTTTGGTTTCTTGCATAAAATATATGTAGACAAAAATATATTGGAATCATATACAGAATTTGGACTACGTTTTTCTCATACTTGCCATTTATATTGCTGATAACAGTGTATTTTGGAAGAGTTCCATGTTAATTATATTAATTGCCGCATTTAATAAGTACATCTTTGTACATTCACCATTATATTGTTCAACTCTGTCCTCATTCGAGCCACTCATCTGGACTTTGATGATATTTTTAATATATAATATATCGATGCTCATCATTATGTACAAAAAAAGAATTCCACTATGATCAATTATTGGTAATTGTATAAATGATAATGTATAATCAATAGATAAAAATATCTATAAATTTCAGTCATTAATTATTGTCTTCATCATTCGTACATAATTTTTTGTTTATTCTAAATAAGTTTAATAATATGAAAGAAAACATTCTAATTGTCCAGATGAGTAGCATCTCTCGATACAAAAAGAAAAAAAAAAACAAAAGTAAGTGGATGTATTAAATCGATACACATATGTACGTTGTTTATATTGTAAAATATAGTACTTATACATAAAATAAAGTCTCATATAACTCTCAGATAAGCTTTGTTACGAACAGAACAGAATAGAAATCATTACATGCTAATAAATGTCGATGTGCTCTCGAATCGATTTTAACGATTTAAATTCTTTACGTCTTTGCTATTACTTAAATCAATGACGATTTTGAAAAAAATAATAGAAGCTTTTAATTTCGAATAATATTTTAATCTTTAATGTCTTTACGCGAAAAACAATGACTAAAAATATAAAAGAGTGACATATAGATCGCGTTCTGATTCGAGTGCACGCAATTATAGTGGACACATTATTTTTTCTTTTTTTTAATTTTTTTTTTTATTGTTCCTGCCCATTTATTTATCCACGTATTTGCAATACGATTGCCTGCTCGAGATTCGAATGATCTCTTATCGTTCCGATGGTTGTGATATCGGGGAATCGTAGCTTTCATGAGAAAAATAATTTATATGTTGAGGATGGTGTAAATAACGATGTCGATAACGATAATAATATCGATGTAGACAGGATTCCTTGTTGATACGACATTGTAAGGAGGTAGCGATGCTTGGTTGCAATTGCATTAGATTTAGAGCTGTCGTGACACAAAATTCGTCTTCCATGAGAGCTCCCTTCTCGTTTTGATTGTTACAAACTTTGCGTACTTCTATCGCGTAATTCATTAGACATTCATTCATTTCATTTGGTATCTGTAACGAACAAGAAAATTTTATAATTTTATATAATTTTATATAATTATATATAATTATATATAATTTATATATAATAAATATATAAATTAGTATATATTTACATTTTTATATATACATTCATCAGTGAATATCACAAAAATGTTCTGGAGTTGTTAGATAGGTCATATAACAAAATTAACTAGAGTGCAAATATATATATATATATATATATATATATGTATGTTAATATTTTATTTTAAATATCATTTGACAATTTTCGACTTCGAAGTTTGTCGGAAAATTGATTTTAATTCTTTTTTTAATTTCTTCTTTTTTTTTATATAATATGGAACAAACCAAAATAAAAGAAAATCACTTTTATTTATTTGGTCAATACTTTATTAATTAATAATAAGTATTTTGTAAAATAAATAGTCAGTATATATAAAGATTGTAGTTAGTGTAAAAAATTGCATCAGGCTTACGTTTGGATTATTACATGTTTAGTGATATTTTATTATAAATACTGACCATTTATTTAAAATACCGATCAAATGTTTAACCAAATTAAAAAAAAAATATTTAATGATCCTATAAATAATAGCCAAGAAAAACAATGAAGCATTAGAGTATGTAAATAGTAAATAGAAGTGTGGATAAATATTAAGGGATTTAGCTACAAATTATTTAAGTAAGTTGTGTACATACGCAAGCTTTACATATTTGAAGCATAACGCATGGTAAATATAGCATCTGACTGTTATCTCCAGTTAAATTATCGACAATCTTACACTGTCGTTCGATCGCCTCCAAATTCGGACAGTTCTTGTTTCCATCCGGAGCTAAATAAATAAAAAGAGAAAGAGAACAATACATTAATCATTTAATTCTTATCTACAATCTTAATATTGGAATTATACACGTCTTTGCATATTATATATACACAATATATCTACCATCATTAATGTTTATATTGAAGCTAGTCTGTTTGTTTTCTTTTTTTTGTATACTTTCGTCATTACGAAAGTTTTGTGTCAAATTATTTCGAGCGTAAGCAGCCTTTTGAGCTTCTTTGCGAGCGGCTAGGCTGTTTCTAAATTCATTCAATGCCTTACGCATCTTTTCTAATGAATACGCAGCGGCTAGTCGATTCATGATCTGATCCTTTGCCTGTGAATTATAAGGATTAATCACAATATTACCAAATATATTTAATGAAAGATATAAATACAATCAAACTTTTTACAATATCGTGTTTAATTATAACGATCTTTTAAATGTCCAATGATATAATATTCTTGTATTAATAACTGATTTACTTTTTTTTTTCTTTGTTTTTACAAACCTTTTCTAAATCCATACCAACATTATTCAATATCGCATATATCTGATTAACTTTCTCCTTCCTTTCATTGTTCTCACTCTCGGACTCTCGTTCGGGATGTTTTAAATTTTCCGCCATGTTCTATTGAAAAATGGATTCATGTAAACTTTGGTGATGGATAATGTTATTGTTTCCCTTGTAAGCATGTTATTATTAACCCGTTCATCGTTAAGAATATTTTAACGAACTTTCCATCTATCCCATTTGAATTGCATGTCTTATATTAAAAAGAATAATAGAACACTGAATTGAATTATAATGTTGAATTGGACAAAAATATGACATGTAAGATATTTATTTTATTTTTATGGCGTAAAAAAAAGAAAAGTCGTCTTAATGAAAAGTTCAGTAACGATCAACGGTAAAGGATATTAGAAAAAAAAGAAAAAGAAATATACCTCATAGTATCGTTGTAACATCCACTCATCATCTTGATCTTGTGTACCTGGCCTGGCCAAGAATGTAGTTTTTTTCTTCCTACGATCGATACCAAAATACTGAGACCAATCGATATTCTTCTTTTTCACTTCGATGCCTTTCTCTTGTGATGTATTGATCTTCGTGACATTTTCCTTTTGACCCTTGGAAATAGAAATTACCTTTGGAGCTTCCGACGTATTAACGCGAATATTTTCATGGCCGTGATCGCAATCGTGATCATGATCGTGATCATGATCATGATCAGGGTTGTGGTCATGGTCGTGGTCGTGGTCGTGGTTTTGTTCGTGGTCATGATTATGCGGACGTGTACAATTACGAGTCTTCAGGGTAGATTGCGTGCCGAATAATGCGCCTAGATCTTGTGCGACCTTTAAAGAAAATAATGTAAATAATACAAATCTTTTACGAAGCTTTATGGCAACGTTAAAAAAAAAACAGAAAAAGAAAAAAAACACATTTACTGTTGGCTATCTATCGAAACTGAACCTACCTTTGGATCCATAATTTGTCTCTTCACTTGTTGGAATTCTTTTGGACTTCTTTTAGCTACTGGATAACGTTTCCCTAAAGTTCGATATTTATCGATTTCTCGGCCCAAAGGATACCTCGCATTTACGTTCCTTCGTTCGGTTGGTAAGAAATAAAGGATATTCTGTTCCGTATCTTTATCCGTGAAATCATTTTCCTCGCCATTTCTTCTTCCTTCACCTGGCAACAAATCTCCTTTATCGAAGAGTTCGCTCCATGACATTGGACCTTCGTTCCTGTTATGTAATAACATCGTATGAAAAGGTTAACGTAAAAAGTAAAAGAAAAAGAACTTATTAAAAACTTTTTACGAAGAATGAAAATTCACGTTTACGTTAAATATACTAACTCGTAGAATTTATTTCCTTGGTTGGCCCTATATTTCTCGTAAATTGGTGCATCCAAATAATTTTCTTCGGTTTCCGTTTGAGTGTACGGATAATCGTCTTGTAATTCCTCCAGAAACAATTTCGCCAGTTCTCGACCGTCTATATTTGTATTTTCCGTTGCACTACCCCTTTTATGATTAGAACTTCGTTCGCGTTCTCGAAAGAGTGACGGTACGCGTTCCTAAATAAACAATAATATATATACATATATAATATATATTATATATATTATATATATTATATTATATAAGTTATATATATATATATTTATATATATTATATATTATGTATATTATATATTATATGTTATATATATGTGTGTATATATATATATTTCATGCGAAGTCAATCATTTTTTG